ATTACGTAATATTACGGTTTTCTTACGCTTCATAAATTATTGCGCAATATTACGCCCTATTAAATTTGCTGATGTAACAAATGCTGTTTTTTCTTTATCTTTTTCATTTACTGGCAATTGCCAGTAACCACTTAATAAATCTAAAGAACTGAACCATCTTGCTTTAGAGAAAGTTTCCAAGAGATCGTCCACACGAGGGAGGGGATAAGAGTCTTTTTTCATAACCGCGTTTAATTTGCGGTAATCAATACATAACCGCAACTTTCCACCCTTTTTAGGTACCACCATGACGGGGGAAGACCAAGAGCTTTGTGACTCACGAATTAATCCTTTTTTTTTTAGTTGGGTTATTTCATTTTTAATAAATTCTTTAACGCCCGGAGCGGCTTTATATGCATTTTGTTTTATTGGAGCAGCGTCACTGGTGTCAATCATGTGGTTAGTTCTTTCGGTACGTCCAAGTTCTTTAATGCTTCATGCAAAGATTTCTTTTTCTTTCTTTAACAATTCTTTCGCCTCCTTTTGTTGCTCGCTGTCCAACTCCTCACTAACTTTAATCTTTTCGATTTTTTCTTCGATAGATTCTTCTTTATCTTCCAATGACGCAGTTGGTAATTCTTCTACATGAGACAAATATGCAGCAGGGCTTTGAGCATCTTGCCAAGGGTTAGTGTACAATTCTGATTCTTCTTCTTTTTCGCTCAATATTTCTTCTGTAAAGTATCTGTCGGTTTCTTCAACTTCTTCGTTTTCATAGATTAATTGGTCAAACAAATCATTGTCATTATTCGAGAGATCTTCAAAGTATTCTTTTTTTTCATTTAACAATTTCCTTGGTCTGCTATTAGTAATAGGCACTTCGACGACTCTTTCTAAATATCTTAAGATCAACTTTTGTTCGTCAAAGTATATATGGGCTCTTACTTTTTCGAACCAATCATTACCCAACAGAAGAGTCTTATCTGCTGATTCAATTACTTGAAGTGGGCTTGGGATAGCTAAGTCTTGTACCATGATTTTTACGTTTTAATTTTTTCCAAAGTTCTGTTTCCTACACCAGTGGCAGTTACTATAACTATAGTTGAACTTTCTTCTATTTTAAGACCAAGCTTATCCATTAGTTTTTTCGTTATAAAGCTTGCTGCGGCACCTGAGTCTAAAATCGCAACGACCGGGTTATTTCGGATTCTTACATTACACCTCGCAGCAGTGGTTCTTTTTTCTCCTTCGTCTATGTAATTTGTTTCCTCTATTATTAATGGTCTTCAAAGAACTTTTGCCAAGTTTCTTCTTTGATTTGGGTAATGGAGCATTTGTCCTACTGTTGCATTGACACGTGTGTTAAAAATATCATCAGCAACATTGTAAGCAACGATTGAATCTACTATCGAAGGGCCTCTTTTTCTTCTCAGGGCTCGTGCCGGAGTAAGTAAGTCATTATCTTGCATTAGGTCATCATCATCGACTAGAGGGTAGGTTTCTTCAAATTCTCTAGGTTGGATATTGACTATTTTCTTGTTTCTTAACCGCCCTTTCAATTGCGATTCTGAGTTAGGTTGAGTATGCTTCCTATTTTCTCTATCATAAGGTTGGTACCTATCATCGATAGTGTACATTTCTTTTTTGTTATAAATGTCGTTAACTTCACCGAAGTGTGTCTCGGTTTCACATTTTGCAGTCCTGTTGGGTTGAGTAGGTTTTTCTCTATGGGAACTGGTGTTTCTCTTTCTGCAAGACAATCTCTCGAATAGTGGCCTTTTTCACTACACCTAAAGCAAGTCACTATACTAATCGGTCTACTGGTTGGTCTAGTTCGTGGAGTACTTGATTTGGCTTGGGTTGAAATAGGGCCGTAAGTTTGGCGTAATTGACACTCATATTTTGAACTTGTTGCACCAGTTCACTTATATCTTCTTCTAATTTATCCTTCTTTTCTTCTTTTTCTTTTATCGCTGTATTTCCATAATAACCTCCGGCTTCGCTCTTTTTAGCTGTAGAGATGGCTTCTTCCAAGTTTTTTGGGTCTTTTACGGCAACAAATGACGCTATTTTTCCTTGTAGGCCTCTGATAAACATTCGTACGACATATTCTTGAGGCAAAGCAGTTCCAGAATTTACTCTTTTTAAAAGTTTTTTAAATTTATAGGTGTAGTTTCCTACACGTTCACCTTCTTGTTGCTTTAGGAAATTTAATTCGACCTGCCATTGGTGTCTTCGTTCCGAAGTGGCGAAGTATTTTAAGAATTCTGGCATGAAACTTCCTTCTTGATCATATTGTTCGTCCAAATATAATAAGGCTTCTTTATTGTCATGAAACCAGTCTGCAGCAATTCCAGCGAGGTATCCAGTTGCAATTTTAATTTTTCTTCGATTTGCCCAGTTATTAGCATCGGTAGCACGTTCAAAGGCTTTTATCCACTCGAAAGGGTTTTCCTTTTCTTCTCCGTAGAACGTTCTAACTCTTATTCAGTTATTTTCTCATTGCTCTGGTCGTACATCGTGAACAGCTCCTAAAGTTGCATCTCGAAAGGCATTTGCTATTTCTCTAAGAATTATATTTACTTGATCCTGATTTACTTGCGTAGCTTCGTTTTCATTTTCATTTTCACTTCGTACAGATCATTGGTCTTCTGAAGAATGGTCGAAGTGAAGGTTTTCTTCCATGTAAAATAAATGAAAAGGCGTTTGTAATATGTGGGTTATCTTTATGTTATGTTTATACTTAGGTGTTTATATGTTAGAAGTTAAATGGGAAAAAAGAAAAATTTCTATGAGAAATTTCTACTTATACCAATTTTAGTGATTACCAATGTTAAAAAATTTATCGATCTTATAACAGTGTTTGTTTTAGTAACTTTTAAATTTTTAATTTACAGCTCAATTATGAGGTAATTATGACAAAAAAATAATTCAGTTCGATTATTAATTTCAAAGTTTAATTAGTAACTCTTTAATTTCAATTCACGACTCACTTATGAGGTAATTAAAAAAATTGTTCAATTACTAATTTAAAGTTTAATCATTGATCGTTCGTCACTATGACGCTGAACACTCAATTATACTCTTAACAGTATTATCCAAACAACGTTTCTTGTAAATCTTATATCCAGTATTGTTTTA